GGACATCCCAAATCCAAACTATAATATTTTTGTAAATAATAATAATAATGTAGTATCTGTGCATGTGGGGGATCTAAAGGCCTAGAAGAGGTATAGGATAGTACATTAAACTATGTTTACCTCAGGGAAGAACATCGTGGCATGGTGGRAACTGGGGATTTCCAGTTTTTACTATATATATTTCTTATTGGATAAATAAGGACTGGGGAAGTGGCTTAGTGGTTAAGCACCCATGGGTTCAATCCCTGGTATCAAAATTATTTCAAAATAGTTAACATATTCATAGAAAAACAGCAACAACAAAGCCATACAACCATTTTGTATGTCATGATTCATGGCATTTTATAACCTGGCAGTAGCCTTCTTTCCTAATTTTGCACACGTATTTACATTAGGTGGGCAATKATACACTTCTGTATAATGGAATTATGGGTTGATTGTTGAAACTGGATCATGCACTGGTCTGCCTGCTTTGTAACTGGAATAGGAAAGGCTGTCTCTGGTTCTCAGAACGACATGAAGCTCTTTCTGAAGAGAAGCTAGGGTACTTGATCTTGCTCTCCAGGGCATGCCAAAATTAGTTCATCCCTTAATCTCAGAAGAAAATGAAATTGCTCTTCCCCAAGAGCAATTTTCTTTTCTTTTTCCTCTTCCCAAAGGAACATTTCATGATTCTTTTCTCTTCCAAACCCATTTTGATTTTACAAATTTTGAGAGTATCTGTACTTATCTAGTCCAGAGTTTGATTTTTTTTATAGCAAAAAGAACAAACAGAATAGATWGTGTATTTACCTTAGGGCTGGTTTCCTTCTAAAAATCTTCCTCATTTCCAAGATTTTTTATTAAAAAAAAATGACAGTAATCCACCTGTTAAAGATAATGCATGTGAGCCAGGCAAAGTGGCATATGCTTGTAATCCCCACAACCCTAGAGGCTGAGGTGGGGGGGGGGTTTTGCAAATTCAAAGCCAGTCTCAGCAAGTAAGCAAGGTCCTAAGTAACTTAGATGGGGTGTCAAAAAAAAAAAAAGACTGGGGAAGTGACTTAGTGGTTAAGCACCCCAGGTTCAATCCCTGGTACCAAAAATAAATAAATAAAGGTAATACATGTGAAATAGATTTGATGAAAACAAAATGCTATACAAATAGGTTACCCAAAATTATATCAGTTTCTAAATTCTAAAGAATTTCATATTAGTCTTTTATCCTCATTTCCTAGATCTTTTTTAAAGCTCAGGAATAAAGAGAAAAAGAAATTGTCATTTCCTAGTTCCTTTTTTAAAACTTGGAAATAAAGAGAACAAGAAAGTACATATTTAAGTCTTTCTATTGTGGTCCTGGCTGGGAATCTAGCCATAGAGCCAACCAGTAGAACAGAAGAAAATGAACTTGCTCTTCCCAATCTTGTTCCCATTCACTGTCCAATTCTCTCAATACTAATAGAATCATAAAATATTCAATTATTTCTCCCTCATTCAGACAAGTAGAAGTGAAGTACTTTGGCAAGATGGGGAAAGAGAAACTTGAATTAACTGTTGTCTGTGCTTTAATTTGCTAGAAGTATTTCACCATGTTAGGATAAGAGTTCCATTTAATTTGGGCAACTGAGGCGGGAGGCTTACAAGTTAGAGGCCAGTCTGGACAACCTGAGACACCTCATCTCAAAAAAAAAAAAATAGTGTTTCATTTAAATCATAAAGGTTTAAATTTAAATCGAGCAGCTGACATTTGAATTATACTAATATAGTCAACCATAATCAGAGAAACCATGTTCCTGGCTATTCATTATTAAAGGCTGTGGGGGATGATAATTTCAGTTGTCTTGGGGTAAAGAGACATTGCAACTACATGTATCTATCTCCTTGGTATATAAGTTTGCCCTTACTAAGAGCTTCAGAGTTTAATAATTGACAGTGTTACCATTTTTTTTGTTTTTCTGTCCTTGATTGGATTTCCTTATCAAATTACTGTCCAACTTGAGACAACCCTGACTGATAAATATCAAACTCTATTGTTTTATTATACATTATTGAAATATGGAGGTAACAGTCAAAATTTTACATATTAAATTGTATTTTCTTATTGAGTATAAATTCAGAGATGTTTATCTAAGGAAATGATTAGCCCAGGATCCAAAAAATATATAATAAAATAAAGCACACCAAAAAATCCTAACATTAACATAAAAAGAGCTTGCTTTTTACCACTCCACAATTTCTGCAGGTAATTTCTACATGAAATTCATTAAATGTCCTTTGATTCTTTTTTCAAAATGGAAATATCTTTTCCATTGTAATATTTAGATCACTGTAACTCTTATACCCACTGTAATTCTTATTTATTATTTTATATATATAAACTTACACACAAACCTCAAAGCTTTGCCAGAAAAGCTTAATTAACACATATAAAGGAGTTAAAACAGTGTCTGCACATAGCACTATGTTAGCTACATTTTCCTTTACACATACCCCTGCCCTGACCCCATTAAAAAAAAAAAAAGAATCCCTATATTTAATACAGCATGAATATCTTTTCTTGTCAGTTCATTCTTTTTAGTGGCTATATGGTTTCATAGGAAAATATTTACTTCCTGATTAATGCACATTTAGTGAGTAAACTACTATAATGAGTACCCTTATTCATACCTTTACCTTCACTTATAACATTCTTTTACACTGATACAAAAAGTAAAAAAGACCATATAGTTTAAAAGTAACTATGTTTTAAAAATTAACATCTAGTTATCATTTTACTTAATTTGACTTCTAGAGCTATGAGAATTTAAAAAACAATTTTTTTTTTTTTTAAATACTGGGGATTGGACCCAAAGGTACKAAACCACTGAGCTACACCCCCATTGGAGGAGGGGGAGGGGTAGGTACCAGGGATGAACCCAGGGGTGCTTAACCACTTAGTTCACATCCCCAACCCTTTTTATATTTTGTTTAGAGACACGGTGGTCTTGCTAAATTGCTGAGGCTGGCTTTAAACTCTCAATCTTCCTGCCTCAGCTTCCCAAGCTGCTGCATGTGCCACCACACTCAGCCATCAATTTTTAAATTTTGAGATAAGGTCTCACTAAATYGATGAGGTTGACCTTGAACTTGTGATAATCCTGCCTCAGACTCCTGAGTTGTTGGAACTAGAGTCACGTGACATTGCCATCCGGCATAAAGTTATTCTTATGGCAACTATTGCCAGAAAATTTTAGATTCCATACAATTGCACCTATTATATGAAACAATGATTTATAAGAGAAAAAACTTTAATAGGAAGAATACACATTTTAGTTGTACTCTAAAATGTTATGAGGCTAGAAAATAACAAATTCCAGTTAGTATAAAATAGGTTTATTGTCAATATTCAGTCATTAATACAACTCAGGTAAATGAAAGATCACTTCATACAAGGCTCAGATATTCTAAAATGCTGATTAATTTCACACATGGATTATAAAATGATAAATACTTACAAATTACAATGCAAGGAAAAATATTACAAAAAATACAATTGTTATAGATCCTTATATGAAAGTCCTTTATTTTAAAGTTCTGCCTTCAGGAATAATGCCATGCTACATATCAGAACCCAAATAAACTATGTTTCTTAAGGTTGTAATGCTCAGCAATATACTGAATGCACTCTAAAAATACCATATCTGACAAGAATCAAAAGCAAGACAAAGTCTTCAACGATGTTTACAAAGAGGGAGAGAATGTGTGTGAGAGAATAAACAATTATTCCATGCTTATTTCTGGGGGAATGAACTTCTTAACTTACAGCAGTGGCTAGAGGCCTATAGAATGAAAAAAAAAATGGGACCAGTCTTAATTTTGTATAAATGATTTTCAAATCATAACAAACTCAGGCAGTTCTAAGGCACTGTTCCCAATACCCTTCACTCTTCGACCCTTTATGTGAAGTTTTTGTCCTTTGTCCATGTTTTTTTTTTTTTTTCTAATTTCTTAACAAGCATACTGTATTCTATCACCCAAAATCCAAACCAAAAGGCATTAAGCAAAACAAAAAAATCTACCAGTGTGGTCAATTCTAAAGACATGAATTCCAGATCA